AGACTGGTGACCTGCCTGTCCAGGGTGTACCCCGCCTTTCGCCCTATGACAGCTGGGATAGGCTCCAGCGCCCCCCGCGACCCTGAAAAGGATAAGCAGAAGTGAATGGATGGATGGATGGACGTTTATATATAAATATAATATATAAATATATGCGGTGGCCACCTAGACACAAAGCATGTACAAACTCCAAAACACACTTCTAGCATTAACATAAGGAGCCGGCTCACGTTGTTCACGTCAAAGATCCGGCTCTAAGAGCCATTTCGTTCGCAATTCCTGCTGTCAGGACAATGCTTTTAAAGAATACCAGTCAGCTGTAAAAATAGCTTTTAATCTTTATTTATATAAAAAAAACATTGAAAACAAAATGTAAACCAGAAAAACATTTACATGAAACAAGTATTTCGTTCTGAAAAGTGCAAAAAGTTTAGGAAACAACATGACAAAGATTTTATTAGAAACTATGCTCAGTGGTGACATCAGCCATAGCATCATCATACGGATGGTCTTCATCTTCCTCAGTGGGTGGAGACATTGTTCTTTGATGTGAGTTTCTTCCTGTTAAGTGTATAGTGAGCATTAATTGTGTGAAACAATGCAAATGACCAAAAACTGACAGCCCACATTTCACTGATTGTTTAACAAAGAGAACATGTCAAAAGTAATTCTTTTAGATTCAATTCTCATTTTGAATCTAATGGCCCATCATGTATGCACACTTCTTCTTTTCCTTGCAGTGTTATCTGCCTCTCTGCAGCTTCTCTATTCTCTATTCCTGCCATCCCCCCAAAACCTCATCCCTATGGAGACTGTCTACTTCTACACCACCAGAAATCAGGCAGAAGGATCCAACCTTGGTCACAAACCACAGTTTGCTAGCCAGTGGATCCAGAATGCACTACTTCCAGAGACAGAGGATGACTATAAATCATAGCCTTTATTTGTAATAGCAAATAAAACAAACTAGACAGAGATTACACACATAATGAGGGAGGACGTGACAAAGAACAGCAGCAGACACAGACTATAAATACACTGGAGGAGATTAGGAACGAGTGGAAACACCTGGGAGCACAGCTGGGCAGCAGACGGACAAAGGACAAAACATAGATGATAATGGAAACAGGAAGGGATAAACACAGGATTTAACTAAATGGGTGGATGGGTGATATTTGAACATAATAATGTTACCTGTAGACCCACGATATATAGAGACCATGAGGAATGTAGAGATTATATATGGAAAGTACACCAAGATGTGGCGCAGCATTCCCAGAGAAGACAGGTTTTTGTCTGAATCTGAATGTGAGGCGGGAGCATCAGGATCTAGAAACAAACAAGCACAGCTGGTTCAGTAAATAAAGAAAATACATTTTAAAAAGATGACAGTCACTTGATTCTTTGGACTTTCAAAGCTTTCATCCTGTTTTACCTATGATGAACAGCCAGCTGGATGGAGACTCTCCCACACTCATGTTACACTTGTAGATGCCTTCATGAGACTTGGTGACATTATAGATGATCATGTGACCTCTAGGCTCAGTACCAACAATAGAGTTATCTTTGTAGAAAGTTGCTGGGAGGGTGGACTGAGTGTTCTTTGTTTCACAGAACAGAGTAACATTATCTCCCTTCATCATGGGGAGGACGGGACTCTGCAGGATTACCGGAGTATCTCGACCTGCTCGGAGATAAAGTCCATCATTCTTCAGTAAGGAAGATAACTCACAAGTAAACAACATTCAAGAGAGTTGCAAACTTTCCCAGGAGATCCCGACAGAAGTAGGGTCTAAGGTCCGACCGTGCAAGTGTCAGCCATCATCCACCTGCTTCCCTTTCCCTCGTTACCTGTGTGTGTGTGTGTGTGTGTGTGTGTGTGTGTCCTGGTTTTCCTGGAAAACCTAGCCTTTCCCCTACCTGGCGTAATCACACACACCTGCAGCTGATTAACCTAATCTCGGGAGCTTCTTAACAGAGCTCCCGTCGATGCTGGATCTTTGTGAAATTTCCCATCAGTTTCCCAGCAAAACCGTACGCTAGAAAGTTTGAGGTTGCTGCGAGTGTAGAAGTTACTCATGGCTTCCTCTGTGATTTTCCAGGAGATTAGTGTAAATGAGAGGACAAAGCAAGCACGTTGCACGTAGACACACAGGGAGCGGAAACTAGGACCACGGACACTGGGAGAAGACACAGCATGGGAATCGGGGACGCAGACTCATCAGGATCACGCATGGGATTTATCGGGTCATGATTATTTGCTGCACTGTAAATAAAAGTGCTGTATTCATCGTACAGAGTCCTGCGTTTGGGTCCTGTAATCCTGACAGTCAGTGGTTTTTCTTCCTCAGTAGAAAACAGCTAATAAAAGCTGCGAGTACTGCTTTGGGTTACACTTCCTGCCTGCCACACAATGGTTACAAGACATTCACAATGATTCCTCCCTTCAGCTGGTTCAGAAAACGGTTAGTTTCTCAAGGTTTCATGCCCCCCTCCCACACACATACACCCTTCAATTGTATCTGCATCTGTCTCTTGGTTCTTTTACAACAACTTTCAGTTGTTGGGACAATTATGTTTACTTTTAGTCGTCCCTCATTCTTAGAAAATTTGAAGGGTTTCTGTTTCTAAAGGTTTTTTTTACTGAACATACCATGAACAGTGATGTTGACTGAGTTGCTCCGCTGCTGTGTAGGAGACTCGCACCAATAAACCGCGCTGTCAGGCTGCTTGGTTGTATGGAGGACGCAGCCATGGGAAACGACTTGCCCCCATGCTTGACAACTGGACAGGTCTTCAGCAAATGTTGTGAACCTCTTTACTGTCCATCCTTGAACACCACAGTTCAGGTTCAGGTTCTTATACTCAAACAGCTGAGCTGTGTTGGGAGATGGTGTGAGAGTTGGGGGGTCAGCATCATCTGGGGACAGAAGCAGACTTTACATCAGTGTGTTTAAAAATTTGTTCAGCTGCATTCAAGATCGTAAAAAACTGCACAACCTTAAGATGATCCTTTGATTGCTTTTCACTTTTTTTCTTGGACAAAAACTAAACTAATCTGAAATGAAAAGCACACAAATAATACTCCAGCAGCCAAAGTGATCACAGGTTTTTTGAGTGAGTGACCTCACCCAGCATATTTTTCCCTAGTGACCGAAGGTTATCAGATGTTCTCCAGTCCTGAGTAACTTCAGCTTCAGCTGCTCTTATTCAGTCGCTTGATTTTAAAATGTAAGAAGGTTTCTGGTAGCTCGAGATTATAATAAGAGTTTGTACAAACCACCAATTGTGTTGTTTTGTTTTTCCATCTGTTAGATACCCCTAAAATGTTTAGATCTACGGTTGACTTGGTTCTTCGTTCTTTACCTTGTATCAGCAGCCAGCTGGATGGTGAATCACGACCACCAATGCTGCATTTGTAGGAACCTTGATGAGCCTTTGATGCTTGGTAGATGGTCATGCGACGTGTATTTTCATTTTTGATGAAGATACCATCTTTATAGAAATCAGCTGATTTGTTGGAGGGATTCTTTGTTCTACAGAGCAGAGTGATGTTATCTCCCTCCACCACAGGGGCAGCAGGAATCTGCAGGATGACTGGGTTCTCTAAACCAACAGAAAGGCAAAAAATGTTGTTGCTTGACTTCAGGTGATGAGACAGCCTAGAGGGAAGCGGTGACTGAACAATGGTGGTAAGAACGTCTCCAAGAAAATAGTAACCTATTTTCTTGGAGACGTTCAGAGACAGTTGATGATGATGATGATGATGATGATGATTATTATTATTATTATTATTATTATTATTATTATTATTGACCGGCTTTCAAAAAATGAATTAAAAATTTGGGTCTTAATTCATTAATTAGCTGGAGTGAAAGATTGCTGCCACTCCTCCTCCTGGGCCCTGTAATGCACTGGATTGTCTCAGGGGCATCATAGGAATATATAAATGTATTATACAGCAGGGTGCAAGATGCTAGCAGGCAGAGCATACATGGAACGCCATAACACAACACAGGACCCTCAAGCTCCCAGGCCTCTGGTAGAGGACCTGAGCTTGAAGGATAGATCGCCCGCAGGGGCAAGAGGGGAACACACAAATGTCAATGTTGATGCGATAATAATGCATAAATGCAAAAACATTTAAACAACTTTATTTATTTTTTTGACACGGAATTGATGGCCTGTGATCTTTGGCCCGCCCCCTTTTTTCAGAAATTAGGAAGCGACGCAGCAGTTGTAGATGTGAGCAGAAATAGATAAAGGAAAAGGTCTTTTGAACAGCAAGTTCAATTTTGCCATGCAATGCCAGATGGTTTTCTTGACAAAAACAAAGTAAATTGAATTTGAATTTACTGTCGATGTGAACTGAGTTATCACCGTAGTACATCCAGTCTCAAATACCACTTGCTAACCAAGCACATAGCTAACACAGAGAGTCCTCCCTCTCGCCAAAGGCAGACCACGCTGGATAGTTTTCAAAGGAGACGTCTGGACAATTCTACAACCAACAAATTTTCAACAGCCATAGCAAAATGGGTGGCTACAGCATGGAGGCCAATTATCATTGTGGAGGATGAGGGGCTACTTGAAATAATTCTCTTTTTCAGAGTAACATTATCTCCCTTCATCATGGGGAGGACGGGACTCTGCAGGATTACCGGAGTATCTCGACCTGCTCGGAGATAAAGTCCATCATTCTTCAGTAAGGAAGATAACTCACAAGTAAACAACATTCAAGAGAGTTGCAAACTTTCCCAGGAGATCCCGACAGAAGTAGGGTCTAAGGTCCGACCGTGCAAGTGTCAGCCATCATCCACCTGCTTCCCTTTCCCTCGTTACCTGTGTGTGTGTGTGTGTGTGTGTGTGTGTTTGTGTGTCCTGGTTTTCCTGGAAAACCTAGCCTTTCCCCTACCTGGCGTAATCACACACACCTGCAGCTGATTAACCTAATCTCGGGAGCTTCTTAACAGAGCTCCCGTCGATGCTGGATCTTTGTGAAATTTTCCCATCAGTTTCCCAGCAAAACCGTACGCTAGAAAGTTTGAGGTTGCTGCGGGTGTAGAAGTTACTCATGGCTTCCTCTGTGATTTTCCAGGAGATTAGTGTAAATGAGAGGACGAAGCAAGCATGTTGCATGTAGACACACAGGGAGCGGAAACTAGGACCATGGACACTGGGAGAAGACACAGCATGGGAATCGGGGACGCAGACTCATCAGGATCACACATGGGATTTATCGGGTCATGATTATTTGCTGCACTGTAAATAAAAGTGCTGTATTCATCGTACAGAGTCCTGCGTTTGGGTCCTGTAATCCTGACAGTCAGTGGTTTTTCTTCCTCAGTAGAAAACAGCTAATAAAAGCTGCGAGTACTGCTTTGGGTTACACTTCCTGCCTGCCACACAATGGTTACAAGACATTCACAATGATTTCCAACCTCCCTTCAGCTGGTTCAGAAAAAGGTTAGTTTCTCAAGGTTTCATGCCCCCCTCCACACACATACACCCTTCAATTGTATCTGCATCTGTCTCTTGGTTCTTTTACAACAACTTTCAGTTGTTGGGACAATTAGGTTTACTTTTAGTCGTCCCTCATTCTTAGAAAATTTGAAGAGTTTCTGTTTCTAAAGGTTTTTTTTACTGAACATACCATGAACAGTGATGTTGACTGAGTTGCTCCGCTGCTGTGTAGGAGACTCGCACCAATAAACCGCGCTGTCAGGCTGCTTGGT